TTGTTTAATAAACTGATAATATAAATCATTGACTGCAATAAATATTTAGAAATTATTTTTAAAGAATTAAACATTGAGGATTATGCATGATTTCAGAAGAGGTTATGATACGGTAAGTCAAAATATTGGAGAAAAGCACAAATTTTGATTTAGTAAGGGGTTCAAATATGCCGAGTAGGTGTATAATATTGTGGTTTTGTCAGAGGTCCCAAGTTGGAAGAAACTCATTTCCGGGAGGTCTACAGTGGTTGATCCAGAAATTTGAAGTGGGGAGGGGACTTTCAAAGATGTAGTTTCGGTAAGAATATTTATGATTGTGGCACCTCTAGATGGCCAGAAATGACATTCTCAGACATGCGGTAAATTTTAGAATACAATAGAATAATACATTTTTTGGGAAAATATTTAGGGGCCCAGGCCGCAAATTTTGTTTTCGTAGGTAAGTTTGGTAAAATTTCATGAATTAATCATAACTCTCATCACATAGACCATATTTTGCGCATACGCTACTTTCAAGTCTGTGTTAGCCCATGGTCAGCTTGATATCAACTTCTCTGTACATTATTGCGATAGGACCTAGTTTTCAGCCCTTCCCGGCCTTGTTTTTCAATCAAATACAAGCCCGTACAAGGCTGAAAACTAGGTCTTATCTCAATAATGTACAGAGCAGCTGATATCAGGTTGACCATGAGCTGACACAGACTTGAAAGTAGCGCATGCACAAAATACTGTCTATAAGAAACATTGTTTTTATGATTGCTACATGCTTCTCGTAGGTTTCTTTAGAGGGCGTTTAGAATAATTCAACCCAGGGTTGATTACCCTACTAGTACTAAACAGCTCTTTATATTATTAAGGTCTGCTGGCATGTACAGGTATATTAATATCAATGAGGAATCGTTTATTAATAATCCCATTTTCTAATTAAAATATTCATTCTTTAATCCATGTTCCCAGAAATTGTATTTATTGAAAGTAGGGAAAGCTGAGATAATGTTCTGGTGTTTCATCTAGCTACTGGGGGTAATTTAAAGTGCATAGAATACGGTACTTGCTACTGTATATTCCGGTGTATAAGCCTCAAATTTTATATGCGATTTTTCCCCCCGAAGTTTGGGGTGCGGCCTATACACCGGTCATTAACCTACTCCCAAAAAGTTCAGATCGCGAGCTGCAGCGAAAATCAGACGCCGCCTGTCTAGCTTGGGCCCATGCTAGCCCAGTTAATTAGCCTAGCGTAGGACTGGTTTGAAGGCCTAGTGTTTGTAATTATACTCACTACAGTGCTGTACTAGGATTCCTACTACATTTTCTATGATTTTAAGTGTCCGGGCGCATATTCGCGCTTGTACGGTAATAAAGATTGTAGCACCCAATCACAACGGTAACATTTGCGATATTGATTCCTTTTCGGCTACTATTGGTTTGCTTTCACACACGATTTTACTCTGCGATTGGGTGTCGCAGTTGCTACAACCAATCTCAATGCGATGCTATTCTGAATGGGGCATAAAGTAATGCATTTTGTTTCACACTAATATTTCAACCTTTAGTACATGGTGCTGACAAAGGCTAGAATAATTTTGTTACTTGTCCTAAATCCTAAATAAATTCATCCTAATGCATGTTATGAAAGCATTCTGAATTTATTATTTTTAATTATTATTTATTATTTATTAGTTTTTTATTTATTTATTTATTTTTTATTTTGTTTAATAATTTATACTTTGAAGGTGAACGAATAGTACAATATATACACACCATACAGTAGCTGCTCAATATTTCTCGTAGTTTGTTACAGATTTTCCTATTAACCCGTAAATAGATTATTACAATATCTGCTGAACACAATGTAGTCATTATGTTATTAATTCTGATTATGCCAGGAGTGACCCAGAGGTCAATCAATATCATAATTTAAGAATACAATGGGTATAATTGCTAGGCTCTGTATTAGTACCAGACATGCACTCTGCCTATGTACTCTGTAGGTACTTTCCCAGCAAATTTGTTGTCTCTTCGACCATGAAAATATTCCTCTTGATAAAGTGTCAAATGTCATGTGTATAACCTAGCAGTGGTACTACTGCATAATCTCAAGTGAGAAGAAATAAGATTGTTTAAAAATTAATTATGTATATATTTCCCTGTTGGTACTATGTAGAATATTAGGGTTGTAGCTGTAGAAAGCACAGGGTGGGTGATGACATTGTAAGGGTGGTTGTAGCAGTGTTTAAGCTGTCATTAGCCAAATCCTAATAAAAGCTGAATTTGGCAAAATATTTTCATTCCAAATTAGCCAAAAAGCTAATGGAATTAAAGCGGTAATTCTTTATATTCTTTTGTTTTGGCTAATCAAATTTCTATGTGGCTAATTATTTTCTTTTCTATGTGGCTAATTATTTTCATACTGAATTAGCCCAATTGCTAAATATTGTTTTGGCCAGCTTAAACCCTGGTATAGCTTCAGACAAGGTGGAAAACTTCAAGGCTGGATGGCTCAACCCACCATAACCAGAGTACATCCCTGAATACCTATAGACTATATCACCCAACGTTGGTCGTCTGTATAAAGGGGTAAAAAGTGCCTCTGGGGGGCATGTGCAATCCCTCCGTCCACTGGTTGCTGAATTTTTGCACCCCTACCCAACAAAATGCTAGTCCACAGGTTGTCTTTCCAGTCTGAGCTGATCACTGTTTAGAACTACTGTACGTGTCAGTTGCATGAATGTGTAATTTCATTGCAGTCATGTGTGTTAGTTGCCATTGCAGTGAATGCCGGGGCTTTGATGTGTTGAGTTTAATCATGACAAAGTAAGAAAACCAAAGTTATATAGTATAGTATGATTTTATTTTATTCAGTTTTACTGCATTAATACGCAAATGGAACCTCAACGAAAAAGGAGAATCCAAGTCTTAGACCTTGGTGAAGCTAATCATATCACCACCATACACAACAAAACAATCAGATCAAACAGCATCAGAATATTATATGTACAGTATGAAGAATGGAAGAAAAAAACAGATTCATCTTCATACTACTATAATATTCTTGCTACCTCTTGTATATACCTAGTAATTTATGCCTGCAAAATTATGCAGTAGAAAATGCAAATTTTTCTTAGTAACAATAGTAAAATCCAGGCTTATCAAGACCTCAGGAAGTACTGTAACTAAGTAAAGTAGCGATCATATAAAATGCATGCCACAGGGGCTGTGGGCTGACTTCCATTACATAGCTCGCCATCTGTATTCTATAAAGAATAGATGCCTAAATGTGGTTGAAGAATCTAGCATACAAACACTGAGACGTGTAGTTAGTTAGGCCTTCCAGATGAGTGTTGATAAACTTGACAGTCATATTTTCTCAGATTGACATGCAGCTGTCGATGATATTATTCCCTGAGACTGCTGCAGAGGTTGAGCTTCTGAGATCAAGCACAAGACTATTATCACCTTTTTTGACCATGACACATTTTTCTATCATATCATAACAATATTAAACAATAATTTTTTTTCATAAAGAAAAATTGTAATTTTGTATGAAAATTAATCTGAATTTGAAAGGTTTTTTAAATTAGAGTGCATAGGGCAGTTATTGTATGAAGCACTTTTAATTAATGATAATCATCTCCAGAGTGATTTTCAAAACATTTTCAAATTATATCTTTTTGATGTTGACTAAGTACTGTACATACACTTGTGTACTGCATGTTGAAGTATAATGCATACAACATACAACAATGTGTTTGTATTGTATGTCAATAGAGAATGCTGTCTATAGTCTAAGTTCAATGCATATAAACAAACAATTGTACTATAATTTTTTTTTTTTTTTATTATAGTAAACAGGTTGTTGGTTTTTGTGGTATATCTTATATATATCCTTGATTATCCAGTAAAGTCCCTAGTTATTTTTCTCACAACTAAAAAAAATTAACTGCAATGCGACCTTTGTACATTACCGATCGATAGACTGACAGCATATTTTTTGCTTGTTTGTTATGTGCAGTCAGAGGCATTGACCATCACCCCGGATGCATTTGTGGCAAAGACAAGCCAAACCAATCACTCGTCGCAAAAATCCGTTTTGATTTATTAATACAGTGTTGAAGAGTAAAATAATAGCTATAAAATGGTAAAAAAATCATTCAAATCGGACATTTCCTTATGAAGTTACAACTTACAAGCGTTTGAACATACAGATGTTTATAAAGAACAATATATGAGAAATCAGCCTTCAAAGTTTATGATTTCAGGCATTTCTCATGCAGAAACTATCATCATATTGTTTTAACATTGAAAATTAGGAAAATAACTGCATAGAATGATGTATAGATATAAAAAAGGTTAGTTTAGTGCAATTTGACTTTCTAGCATGCCATTTTCTCTGAAACACGATTTGAGACGAGTGTCTGGTTTGGCTTGTCTTTGCCACATTTTAGGGGGAAAAAAACAGATCATTTTCATGGTCAGAGGCACAAAAATATTTTTTCCAGGCCTGACTTAAGTTCTCATCATGTGGATTCTATGATGCAATATGATCAGTTTTGGTCATATTGCATCATGTGGATTCTATGATGCAATATGACCAAATCTGATGTTTCAATCAACAATATCTAAATTTAAAATGTTTTAAGTAAGTTTAATTAGCATTCTGTTGAGAATTTATACAAGAATATGTTTTCTCTACAGATTAACAAACATATTAAATTGCATCAAATTTTCTTTACTTAATGTAGACAATTAAATTTGCTTTTAATAAAGAACAGCCCTGGCACATGTCTAGTTTTAAAGGTCTAGTCTTGTGTAGCGAAATGAGTTAAGAAAAAATGCATTTGTTTGTTTTTTGGCGGCAGTAATTTAGTTCAGCTTTTGGGTTTTCCTGTCTCATGTTATATTGTGCTTGTTCCATGCTGTTTCTGTTATTGTAAATTGTTTTTGAGATGATGGTTTGAAATAAAATACAAATAAAATGAACATTTTTTTCTTGTTTACAGCGGCAAATTTGTTTCTCCAAAACCAAAGCCGTTTAAAGAAGCTAAGTTACATTGGAGGGATAAAGTGCGTATGAATCATGCCATCTGGAGGGCTTGGCACATACAATGTGAGTCGTTATTTACAGTTTATTCAAATTTGTTGAACTAGAGTGCATTTTCCTTGTGTTTTGAAGTTCTTTTTATGTACACAATACTTTTCCACACATCGTTATTCAGGGATGTAAGATGATGCTGTGTATATACAATTGATAAAATTACCATTTATTAGTGAATTTATGCTGTAGGTTAACTGTAAACTTTGGCTGCCATGGCAACTGCTAGGTATAGAAACGTAGGTTAACATTTCCGAATCGTAATTTTTGTACTTTTTTAAAAGCGTACAGTACACACTCTTTCAAACTGTTGCATGTCCACAGAGGACCAGTGAAAATCTCCATGCTACTCAACTGAGACCATATTTCAATACTTGTTTACGTTTTTGTTGTACGGTTTAAAATTCAGATATAAAGAAAAAACGACCAGTTATATGCCAGTTTACTGCACCTGAACCAGATGAAAGGGCTCGTTTACAGGTAAGGATAAAAATTATAATAACATTACTACAGGTATTTATTTACTCTAAACAAAAATTAGTTTTAAAAGAGAATTTAAAAATAGAAGATAGATACTATAAACCTAAGTATGTATATCGAAGTGACTAAAGAAAATAAAAATATATAAAAAATAGGCAAATATATACATGAAAAAAACAAAATATATGAAAAAATAAAAATAAACACAAGTATATTAGTGAAGTGCATCAGTCAAAAATTAAATAAAAGAAGTGTAAAAATAAGGAAAAGTGAAATTTTGATAGCTTATAATCTACAGTGATTATTTTTTTTTTTTTATCTTAAATTAATTATTCATCCCCTGGTAAAGTTAGATTTAATTGCCAGGAGCCTCTCCCAAACCTTGACATGAAATTAATATTCTTGGCACAAAAACAGAAGCGGCCGAGGGTTGTTTGTCCCAGCAAACCTGATTATTTAATGGCCTTTGCCAGATATGTCTTATGCACTTATAATGATGTTTTATTACAGGCTGATATTATACAAGGAGGTAATGCAAATCTTCCGCACCCTTCAAACCTTGGAATGCATATCCAGCATTACAAGAACTGGAGACTGTACCATAAAGATGTGATCAAGGTTGGTATCGATGATAATGGTCAGGGGTAGATTTAGGGGGCTAGGTTATTTCCGGGCATCTGGAATACAAATATTTCCCGTGGCATGCCCCTGACCCCCCTAGGGTAGTGTTGTCTGTCGATCGTCCCTCTTTCGGACATCTCTGGATCTGCAACGTGGTAGATTTATGATGCGCATAAAGTCATTGCCTCTATGCGCTTACCGTATTATTACCCCGGTCATTGTAACAGACGTTTATGAAACACACCATAATAAGGTAGCAGTAATTAGCATATGGTTTTTGAACCTACTAGGTTGCACCCAATTATACTCCTATGTGGAGAAAGACAACCCTAGGTAAATGGGAGCTTAGAATTATTAGTCCACATAGAGATGTCTTCACAGACTATGGATCTGTGACCTTTTTTCCCTTAAACTAAATTTCACATGGAAATCAATCTAATTATTTAGCAACAAAACTAGGCCAACTATTATTAGCTGGGATTAGAACTGTAGTTTGATAGCTGAAATTAAGGGCCTTAGGTTGAAATTGTTGATCAAGATTTTTTTCTCATGGCTCAAGTAACCTCCAAGGTTTCGTATAGGGATTTTTATTAGTAATAATAATAGTAATAGTAAAATGAACAAAAATTGATAACGTACATATTGCAAAGGCCTGCCAAATCAGCCACTGCAAGCTTTTTTGCAGCAATAAAAGAATTTATGTGAATAATAATAAATATAAATAATGTAAATTATGAAACAATTATATTCCCAGTGTTCAAGTGTCAAGAAAGACGACCCGGAAGAAGATGCCATCGACTTGGACAAATCGCATCCGCCCCTCTCGCCCATGTTGGCAAAGAACCTTGCCAATGATGACACCCTCAAAGACTTTTCCGACACGCTATTCATCAGTAAAAAGAAGAAATTTGCAGCTCCGACTGCTAAAGAAATAAGTAAGAAACTTTATATTCAGTAAACAATTCCTTATATTTCTTTTAAAAAAAGGTTACATTTGATATTTCATAACATAACAATGATTTCATTTCATAACACTACAATGGTTTCATTTCTAAAAGAAACATTAGTTTAGTATTATTTTGCCCATAATTTTGAGTAGGTGTTTCTTTTGACAGGTAAGGGGTAAACTGCCACTCACAGCCTTGTATATGTGCTCTAGTGTTTACATTCAACATGAATTTCTTGAGGCTTTGTTTACATTTAGCAAATTTTATGTAACATTTTTGTGATGTGCCCATATATATGGACATGAGGATGTCATATTACACAGAAATATAGGCATATCACATTAATTTATCATATAGAATTTGATAGTGTAGACAGACCATAAGTTATCGTCATGTTAGGCACACTTCAAAGGAGTGTCAATAACATTCTTAGTCATCATTGTTGGGATTTTACCAAAAATGTACCAAATGAATAAAAAAATGTTTCCTCCTTTTTATCTGAAATGATGGGAATCAGTAGTAATTTATACTAGACTGAAGGAACTATTTAAAATCATAAGTCAGTTTACCCCCTTCTAATTCATGTTAGCAGCAAGTACCTCCCCAAGTGTGACACCCTTAAGTTAAGATAAGATTAAAGACTTCTGACATATTGTCACTTAAGAGGATATTGCAAGTGATATGACATATCCTTTTAAGTTGTATATGTGACTTTGGCAGGTTTGGTAGGATTGTCTCTTCAGAATGATATTAAAAATGATTTCTTAAGTGTGCAGTACAAGATTGTTATATAATGATAAATGAGTACTGTATTTTCTTTGAAAGAGTAATGTGGAATATGCATGACTTAATAAGTAATTAACATTTTTAGTTTCTTTTAGGTTTAGATGAAATGGTTTTGCTTTTGCTATTAGTAGCTACTGTTAGATATAATTAATGTGTCGATAAAGTACATTGTCTGTTATTTTTAATATAACATGTGACTAAACACCTGGTTTGAGGGGTATATACCTGGTTGTGGGAGATGCCTGGTTGTTGGGGGGATGCCTGGTTGTTGGGGGGGGGGATGCCTGGTTGTTGGGGATAGGGATAAATGGAGGTAACATGTCTTGACAAAAACACCCAATAGCTATACATTTTAATGTGTCTGCTGCAATATAATATTATCATTTGAACCACGGAGGAAAAAAACAGGATCATCTTCATTGAGAATCACAATCATATTTAAAAATATTTATTTTTAAGATTTTTTTTTTTTCATGATTAATTTTTTCTTAAGGATTTTGTGTGGGTTTTTTCCATCAACAGTTCGCAAGGCCCACATATCAGATATAATTCAACCGAGTCTTATGACTCTTGAACCCGACCTGGATGAGGACTTTTTCATGGATACCTTAGAATCATTAACAGGTAAGGTGATATATAACATCATAATGATTAAAGTGTCATGATGTTAATATAATTATTTTTTTACTTGCAAACTATAAATTGAAACAGAGCTCTACTGCTAGTCAAACCTAGTGGGAATATTGCATGCTTCTGTATTTTTCTCTTATTTACAAAAGAAGAGCATTAGCAACCCAGATCCACCCAGGGAACCATATAATTTGCTTGTAACCTCATGTTTTTTTAAGAGCCTTACAATAGAATGTGTGGTAAATTTGATTTATGTGATTTCACTTGCAAAATTGGAACAGTAAGCATTGTCATAGGTTATGTGTTGATAAAATAAATTAGGTTCACGAAAGTCTTTACCATGCACAAGGGTGTGATATGCACATGCGATCAGATGGTGTCCTATTAAATGTATTTCAATAATAATAATGATAAGTAAGTAAGTATCTTGTGATTTATCAGTAGGTTAGTTGCATATGCAATGACTTGATATAAAAACATATTACCAATGCTTATGAATTGGAAAAGTAGAGCAACCTAACCCGGGTATCTTTAAAAACAAAAAACTTGATGTACATTAGACCCAAGTTTAGTTTCTCCCTGCCAAAATGATATATCAATACCATTGTCCGTCTAGTTCAAATAATGTCCTACATAAACACTGCCTTTATTAATAATGTATTATAAAAATCAACATATGCTTCTGTCTCATTTGATTTATAATATAGTAATAATAATTTATATTTATGAAATTATGAAGTATGATATAATGTATCGTTATTACATTGAACCGAGTTGCTAATTGTACGCAAGTTTATAACTTTATAAATCATTTATTCAGATATAAATACATGAATAAAATTTAATTTAATTTCAAATATTGGTGGTTTTTATCGAGAAAACATTTCACAATGAAGGAATGAACATTTGCCCAAAAAAAAAAAAATTTTATGACAAGTATTATGCCTATCATGTCATTGTTATTATTGTTGTTATTGATTTGACTGATAATAAATGGAGGATGTGTAACTATTAACAATATTAATAATGTCACAGTAACGTAGTACTAATGTTGTAACATTCGTCTCGTTGACAACATAAATTTTAACTTAATGTTACATGACAAGCATCTGTGGGAGAATGTCATTCGCTTGTTAATGAATATCAATGTGTGCAAATTTAATTAGAAGAGGTTAATTGGCAAGAAAAATAACCTTTCCTAATTAGGTTAGGTTAATTCTCCATTTTCGACATTGATTCTAATGCTTCTTTAAGTTACTACACCATTATTCTTAACAGCAAATCAATCAGATTTAATCAGTTTAAAGAAGAGCTGTATGTTTTGTCACTATAACCCGAAAAGCGAGTCACTAATATTATTCATAACCTTTAGTTGGCATTCTACTCTCATGTTAATTATTATTCATATTTTGTCACTATTTTATTTATTTTACTTTATTTTATTCCAAATTAAACCAGTAACTCTCTCCGACGATAAATCGTGTTGGGCTGTGTCATACGACGCTGTCTGTCTTTGCCTTAATAACATCTAATGATTAAACACAATCTTGATAAAATAATTAGGACAGTACCGTTAGGTCAACCCATTAAACCTGACTTGGTTAAACTGATAATCATCTTTAAGGACAACAGAGTCCTCCCATTTGAGAAGCTGCAACTTCTCCAAATTAGGTCTAGCATTTTATTGAAAAATTAGCTTACCGTCTACAAAAAAAATCCAAATCTTTGTGAAAATATTCAGTAGCTTATTAAAAAGGTTTAAATTTGTTATACAAGGTCATAACGAATACATTAATTTAGTGTTATTTTACTACTAAAAAACCTTAAATTAACAGCCAATTGTTATGCAAAAGAATATGCAATTGGTATTATTTATTTGTCCTTAACTTACCATAGTTGCTGATGTACTGAGGTTTACTATGAAACTATGAAGCCAATTTAGGATTTACAGATATAATAGGAATTAGCATTATTTGCATCTGTTATTGGCTAGAAAGACATTTTTTTCTAATGTTAAATTGATTTTCAACTTAAATATATACAAACAATTCAAAAATTCCAATATTGATTTTTATTTTTCTTCGTTTTTTTTTTTTTTTGTTCCATACAGACAGGATAATAAAACAGTAAAATGTAGACTCTTCGTCTCTCTATTATATGGACCTGCATTGTAATTTCCTCTGCACCTGCTAGCTAGATCTAATAAAAACATTTGTTTTTCCTTAAAAGCGTAAAAAAAGCAATGGTAAAATGAATAACACATAACTTTCCATCGTTACTGTGTTGAATTGCGTAAGGGTGTGCCCTGTCCACACTCAAATTTTATTCGACAAAAACTTGTGACATACCTATATATGGCCATAATGACATCACATCATACCATATATAGGCACATCATGACTATATAAGGGCATACAACTGTTTTTTGTCAAAGAAAATTTGATAATGCTTACAGAGCTTAACAGCCTTAGAGATGTTCACATCATTTCACAATGTCATGGGCTGAAATGCAGCAAAACATCAGGGGTAAAGCCCTACTCATCTGAATGATGCAGTGGGTTAAAAGTACACACAAGGCAGATGTGTGCACTTGCTACACTCCTGCCTTATCGCTTGGCCACTCTCCTAACAAATTATAATCAAGAAAGGTGTTACTATTCTTGGGTGGGAAGAAAGTATAAATATTCTTTTTAAGTTATGAATTTCAATTTATTATTGTTAATTGTTCTTCAAGTCCAGGGTGGGCATAAAAATTGGTCAGAGGGCCTAGTGAATTTTTTATTTAATACCGAGGACCACACCAAAACTTTTATGTTTTTAGTGTTCTTCTAAAAACCTGCATGCACTGCTTTTATACCGCTTTGTGCTCAGTTTTAATATTACTTTTTACAGGTGATCGGTGTCCGGCTGCAAAAAGCATAGTCTTTTCTAGCCAATGATGGTAGAGGACCGCACACAGGGTTTTTAATTCATTTTTGCGGGCCACAAAAATGTCACTGTCGGGCAGCACTTTACCCACCTGTGCTTTAAGTTATTTGAATTGACTTTGATATTATATATAATAACAGGAGCACAAAGTAAAGTATTTATATTTGAAATTGATAAATATCTTTTTTTATTACTTATGTTCCTCCATACCAGGTCTATTATTATGTGTGTTTATAATTTGATGTCCTGTCTGTCTTATATTGAATACAGAATTATTTTAATTAATTAGTTAATAAAAGAAAATACTATGTATTAAATCCATATAACCTACCGTATGTACTTTCCTTTTCAGATTAAATCAATATTATTATTATGTATTCATTTCTATGTTATTTTATAGACTTGCTGACAAAGACACCAACCAAGGACGGTGGCATAAGTTCCATGTCGCTTGGCAACAACCTGGATGATGCATTAATGAGTGACTCGGTAAGACATGTACATTAAGCAATTAATGAGTCACGTTGTCTGTGGTATAAGTTCTATGTGAATTTGTAACAACATGGATGGGTTATTGAGTGACTCATTGAGACATGTGAGTTGAGCAACTAAAGAGTCACATTTGCTGTGGTATAACTTTTGTGTAAACTTATATCAAGTGAGTGACGGGTTAATTAGTGACTTGTTAAGCCATTTAAGTTGAGCAGTTATAAGAGTCATGTCAAATATGTTAATATTTAACAACATGTATGACTGGTTAATGAGTGACTCGTTAAGACACATAAGTTTATCCAATAATTAGTCATGTTTCTAGCACCTTTTTAACCACTAAAGGAAATCTAATTAAATGTTGTAACTCAGTTACATATTTATTTAATGAAGTATTTTATTTGTTTAAGCAATGTATTCTAATCCATTTAAGTTTGCTACTATTAAATTCCACATGGCTGTATGTGATGATTTTCATTCATTGACAAACACACACAAGACATGCAAAAATAGGTTCCAATAGGAGAATGCGTATACTGCAGGATATAGGTCAAAATTACTCTAAACATATTCCATTATCAGACAAAGTGATATCAACTGTTGTCATGTACCAATTACCAACTCCTTGATAAAACTACCTTCACTCTGTACTTGGCATGCCTGTCAAATGAATTGAAATGAAACTAACACATTCCTTATTAAAGAAAAATTCTACTACCAACCCTTAACACATTCCATTTTGCAGAAAAATTCCATTACTACAACATAAAGTATATACTTCTGCCCAAGCCCAGTATGCTAAAAAAATAATAAGTTTATGAACCTTTTAACTGGTTGGTTTTTAGCTGTCAATTTGATATTGTTTTGAACACCAGTAGTCAGGCTAATGATAACATAAGTGAGAGGGGATTGTTGCATTTCTGTTATTTTACATTTATTATTACATTGTACTTATATAGTTTGTTTTTGATAGCAACATCCGGGAGGTCTCCAAGGCGTCTTACCAGTAATCTATTTTATTGGGTGTTGGCCAGCTTTCCTCATTTTTAAAATGTTATTTTCTGTATTTTATTTCTGAGAAAGATACAATACAGTATGATATTCCAAGCAACAAGGATTTTATGCTAATGAATTGGTTGATGTAGCAAATTTGATTATGTGCTGCAACATGCATTTTGTGTTAACTGTAGATCAAAGTCAGATGTACCAACAGACCACCTTTCATCATTTTCTTTGGATATTTGATTGTTTGGTTGACTAATAGGAGAGAGGGGCCTGTTTTTCAATGATAAATTTTTGTATGTTTATTCTATTTAAAATTACTTTTCACGATTTTTCATTTGTAGGGACACTTATCCAGCTCCGAATATGGTGGCATAATGTCAACAAGCAGCTCGTATCCCATCATTGTCCAATCCTCTAGCAAACCACGTACAGTTAGCTTTGATGACATCCCGGCACATACGTCGCGGCAACTATTCACCGGCAACGAGCCGCAAATGCAGTACAGCCCAATGTTGATCCCCCAGACCAGTCAAATGGGGCATAGCAACTTCGAAGAGGATATGGGAGTTGCAGCTGATTTTTTTGACTTGTTAAATTCCTTTACCACTACTGCTGACTATAGCTTTCAGTCTGTTCAACCAGGGACTGCTACCCCCATCCAGGTTATGGCGCCTTTCGGGACTGAATCCCAAATGGTAATTTTTTTTACATTGTAATGTGTGACCAGCTATTTCAAAACTCTTTGTTTTTGTTAGTAATTCTAATTTTTTGCACTAGCAACCCAAATCAGCGTCTTGGCTATTTTATGCTTTGCAGTTTGTGATACTGTAGAAGAGATATGTGATGAATGTTTCTGCCAAATGTCTAACTACTGTACGATATTATTCTAACTAAAAAGCAAATTAAAATTAATTTTAAAATTCATAGCTATTAAAAGATGCCAAAAAAAAAGAAAATTCATTTTGAAAACCTAATTTATTTGGTTAAGTGTATCTAATGGAACCAGCATAGACAGTTGGCAAATGCTTAGTGTAAATATAGTATTAAATGTAATATATTTGTTAAAACACACAAAATAGCTCCTAATTCGCTTAGCATGTCACATAAACTAATACTTTTGTGTAATAGTAGTTTCAACACATCAAATCAAATACAAATTTTATTTTTCTTTCTTTTCTAGATCAACACAAATACTAAAATGGAGCCTCTCAGTCCCATAATGCATCAGTGTAGCAGCCATGTTTCAAGCACAGTAAGCTCCCCCAGAAATCATGAAAACACAATTACAGGTCAAGCCAGAGAGAAAATGCTGCCCCCTATGGACACAAGTACCTGGCCTAAGCCACCAGCTTCGTCTGCTAGTGGTTGGAATCTTCAAACCAATACCATCGGCATGGTAACCCAGCCTGCTAACCGTATGGTTTCGGCACCCGTACCGATGTCTGTACAAATTTCAGAAACAACATCACAGAACTTCTACCAACCACAAGAACAAATGAACTGTGACAATTCTGGTGGTGTCTATGGCTATAACCAATCCTTACAGATAGCTAATCGAAGAGGTTTGATTTGAATGAAAGAAAAAGAGTTTTTTTTTTCATTTAATTTCTTTATATATGTTGTAATTCATATTTTTGGGTTGAAATATAATGATCCGTATTTGTATGTAAATTTAAATTAATTATTTCTGTCCACAAGTCTGTCATGTACTATACCATAATAATTATTAGTTGGCTTATACCTCCAAATAGAATCATATCAATGACAATTATTCTTCACTTAAGCTGCAGACATTTTTAAGCATTATCTGGATGATTCTTGAATTCACCATGGGCGGATCCAGGGGAGTGAATAGGGTGGCTAGCTACCACCACCCTTCCAAAAAAAATCCATAGATATGGACTTGGACAAGCCCTCTGACAAACTACTAGAAACAAAGTAACATTCTTAAGTCAAAGCTGCCTAGTAATAGCATCTATTTTGGCTTACTTTTTACCAAATACAGTAATCTAAACTAATAAATGATTTAAGGATGATGTGTCCACTCATTATTGGATGAAATATGTCATTGTAAATTTTCAAACAATTCTATGTATATATATATATATATATATATATACAGTATATAAAGTCCATCACTGAATTTTTTTATTTTTATAAACAGACAGAATGAAGGGTGTGAGCCCGCATCAAAGCAGGACGCTAGCCCCGCTCCATGAGGCCGTTGGAAGTGCACTGTCAGGCAAGGTAGGTCTCATGCTAACAGGGTGGTTGCCGTGTTCCATCCTATATTTTAAACCACAATACAGAATACAATATACCACCTTTGATCAGTATCAAGGGCCTAGACTTGCACGTCTTCAAAGCGTCTATGCTGTCTCCTTATGCCACATCTGAAAAGTATTATTTTTTTAGAATATATTTTCGTAAGTGCAGTTCAAATTGGTAGCATACAGTGCTGAAAATTGCTGTATGAAATATCTGCATAGAAGTAAGATTGTATATCAAATACATTAATATATGAAATATGAATATATATATAAATTCTGGGAATATTTTTTAATTATATGTTGATAAAACATAATTGGTTTTCATAATTTCACTGATGTTCCCTACCGACAGTTTGCAAAACTGTTTACAATTAAATATTCTTTTCTTATATTTGAATAGTGATAAATTATCATTTTTGTAATTGGGAGAAATTTGAGAAATGTTTGCAAATTGTTGTATGTGTTTGGTTTATAAATATGGCTTGTGAGAGACAAAGACATAAAAAATAAAAAGAAAATACTGTATATTGAATTCTGTATTGGATTAAGCGAGAGTTGTATGTATGCATTGCATATTAAAAATCGTGACTCAGAATTGTACCAAGCTTATATATGCCAGTTCTAACGAGAATTTGACATTTGCTTCAAATGCAAATTCCTAATAATAATAAAGATGTAATAAGAGAACATAAATGAAATAAGGAATATACAAAAAAGAATTATTGTATATGGCGGTATATAGTAACTTATCCACAGGTTGGAAAAGTTCCAAGAATTGCAATAAACTATAACAGTTAAAGGTGTGATAGGTAATTGTTATTTATTTATTTGTTTTTGATTATTTATGGATTGCTATATTTTATTTTTAATCATAATCATAAGGTAGGTGTTTTTGTTGTTTTTTTTTTTTTCTTTGACACTAATACTTGCATATCATTCCCCCACTACGTATATGTTTTCCTAGTTGGATTCGAAAGATCGTGGCATACAAAGTCCCACGAGTGAACGAGAAGCGTTAACCCCAGTGCTAACTCCAGGCTACCTGTCGACAGCATCTAGTGAGTAACGAACGGTTTTGACCTGTGTGCCCGTAATAGCTGCATTGCGTCTAAGACAATGTTATTTGCACTATATGAACCGTAGGTTCATTTGGCGGCAAGTATGCCGCGGCGTTTGATCCACGCCGTGGACTTTGTTTTTCTCACGTTGTTGTAGACTTTCATTTTTTCGTATTTACTACATCTAAGGCTTATTCATTAGACCATCAAAGTTAAATGAAAATCTGTTGTCACAGATTTGCAAAATGAAAATCTGTCGTCACAGATTTACAAATCAAATATGTATTATTCTTATTATAAATTGTTATTACTGTATTCCTAATTTTAATGATCTGTAGAAATAATATTTCTCAACTAGAAATTATTATTTTAAAAATGACATAACATCTATATTATGGACAATATAATATTAAGTGGCAATATTTCTATCATTTATTACTTTTTTTTATGTTCTAATCATAATAACAAAGATATGTAGGTTGTCGTATTTAAACATAATTTTATTAGAA